TATACTTTGACAAAGAATTTTGTGGTAGAAAACATCATATGATATTGTTCTCTATTTACACTTACGTTCTACAAAACTAGCCAATTACTATTAAACCTTGGCTTTTATGTTATACTTATAATAAASGAAAAATTCCTTCCTAACTTAACAATTTTCATGTAAATATTAATGAGGTACCCATTTTACTTTATTGTATATTATAATATCATATTACGATATCCAATATTGCATAATATTCAGTTATTTTAAACTTATTTTTCGTGCGTATAATAAATAATAGGCCCTACACCCAAACAATATTAATAATTTGATAACATTTATAATTAAGTCCAAGCTTATAAGTCGTATATAACCTGTAAATAATTGTATATATATTATGTAACCTATTGTGAACCAACGCCAATGGCCTTTGACGCCGAGGCTTAATATAAAAAAAAAAAATAAAAAAAAAAAAAAATTATTTGTATTAATTTTAAAATTGTACAATTAATATAATTCACGCGTCGCATTAATTTAACTGTCTAATTAACGCAGCATATTATATTTGGATCTTATAGGTCATTTTTAAATTTGAAAGTAAAAAAGTACATAAGTTTAATAAATTTTTATTCCCCTTGAGATGAGTTATCGAAACTAACTAGGTGCTGTAATTTAAATATTATAAAGTTTTAAAATGGTTCACTGCAAAATAAATAAGTTTCATAAATAAAGCGATGGACAATTGTTTAAATTGATAATATTCTATACGTTCTATAAATAATTCAATTTCAAAGTCAAAATCTGTAACTTAATTAAAATCGATTAAAAAATATATTATAATTATTATTTAAAACGTATAACATTTGTTTATAAATATTCCATCGATCATTCTTAAGGCAAACTGAAAGTAAGGAGCCGCTCTTTTTCACTGTTGTACCCTTGTAGGTGTCGAGTGTACATTATAATTTAGTAGGTCACTGTTATGTATTAGTTTTAAATCATTGCATACAAAAAAAAATTCTTTGAGAATCGTGTAAATTTATTCTAAAAACATATCATTGTATAGAATCAATACAATCATAATCAACAATAGACTAAATTAAATTAGATAAATAGATTAGGCTTTCAATTCGGCTTTTGTAACAATTTATTTAAAAGCTCTGAATTATCTAGACTCTTTGAACCTATGATTAAATTTAAATATTTGGCATASGAGTTAAACTTAGACATCAGTAAATAATAAAAAATATTACATCCATCATTATATCACGCCACAGATGAATTTTTATTTTTTTTTTCAAAAAACATGTAAGTTGTCTATAGTTTGTGTGTACATTTCAAATAATTAGGTAAGTAAAGTCATTTTTTTTTTATTGAAAAAACATAGGATGAAATCGGAAGATAATGAATATAATTTAAACGTTTTCAAACATTCTACATATAATAGAAATTTTGTATACAACACTGTCGTATAATATTTAAATTCCAATACAGCATATTTAAGAATGTGCTAACATTTTTTTTTTTTTGTAAAATCATAAAATGATTAAGTTTGGACGATTATGGAAGAATATCTTAGTAATTGTTTGTGTGTTAAGATTATAAAACTGTATGTACTGATTATTATAATATTATAATATTATTGTCACGACTGATGAAACTGGAACATTTTGAAATTGATCTATTTCGTGTCTTAAACTTTTATATACCTAATTCATTAAGTCTTTTGCGATTTGCTTTTAAATATTTTCCACTCAGTAAAAATTATTGAACAGTTAAGCTGAAACAATCATGTGTTGAAGAAATACTACATGTACAATGCACTTATAATCATAAAACCATGCTCCTGCAAGGATTTGGCTATGCTTAATCATTATTCATTAATGCGGATTATCTCGTCTGTATGAACTCAACTAACCAATTTCACACTTAACATATGTAATAGTATTTATTCTTATTACGATTTATTATTTCTAATAATATTCATTTTACCATTTACTTTCGTATGTAATCATGTTTTATATTATTATTTTGTATTTTTTACCATAGACTATAGACTTCTAAATACAATAATTGTAATATTATAATACTATTTAATTTATAGATAAAATTAAACCAATATAAACAGGTATAAATTAACTTTCTCATTTTTCAATAAATGGTTGATTGTATTTACTACTTCAAGTCCGATATTGTTGGTAAATTATATTCAATGAAAATATATTAATTTATAGTATGTAATGAAGTATTCTTTTTTAGTTTTTTAACTGCAGGGCTTTAGTATTATTATTATTAAAGCGCTTAATATTGCCCCCTTAATTTGCATAATAAGATATATTATGAAATTTTAAAACTATATTTTGTATTTTTTAAACAATATACAAATTAATCAATTTAATTAAAAAAATACACATTATCTAATAAACGTGTTCATAAAAATAGAATTCTAATATTAATTGAGTTGTATTTTATTGTTGGGTCATTAGGTATTTAATATTTTTTCAGCCATAAATTTCTGAGCCCTAATAATAGCAATATAATACAGTCCGAACGTACGATATTACTACGATTTTACGAGTATTGAGTGACACAATTAACGTGTACAGGTCAATCGCCCAAAATTCAGTTCTGTATATTATAATGATAATATTAATATTAACATTTAATATTTTGAGAACTGCAAGAATTTATTAATTTTAGATTTTTTTTATGAATACTTTTTTTGGTTTTAATCGTGTTCTGAAAACTGAAAAGTATTGATTTTCTCAAACAAATTGGTATTGGGTTTGATTGTAGGTACTTAATTTAAATTGCACACATCAATACATATAATACGATATATATATAAATGAAGACCAACGTGTATAACTGTATTCGATATTGATAATCAATATAAAGATTTAACGTTAAGTATAGTAATAACAATTCTAATGTAATGCTATACTATATGTAACTTTAACTTTTAGATGCCATCTAACGACAAGCTTAAATATAAACATTAAAATCATTTTTATGGATATTATTTCCTTAGGGGTACTGCAGGAACGTAACCTGTAGAATTTTTTGAATTTTTTATTCTTCAATTCATCAATTGCCAAAATAAAATATACTATAATATAGAAATATATTTCCAACTTYAATTAACTTCGCTTTTCTATCATTCATAAGCTACGCAGTTTCTTTGTATTTATCAAACATTATACATTATACCTGATCTATCGATAAACCACTTGGATTTCATAAATGTTTACCATTTATTTTTATTTTTGCGTTATTATTTCTATAACTGAAAAGCTAAAAGTTGTATACCAAATAAAGTATCTACTTAAATTATAACGAATAATTTCACAAATTACACAATAAAAAATATGGAAACCTAATATATATAGATAACTATGCATGTAATACAATGGCCTAAGATAGTATATATGTATAGAGGAGGGTCTGTTTGCACAACACAAACAGACCCTTTTCTGCTGTCGGTTYTAAATCGGAGGGGGGGGGAAATATAGTATATTATAATTGAATCTAAATCATTAAGATTTAGACGAACAATGTCTGCGAAAAATAACTTTTTATACTTATTTAGTTAATGATAAATAGTGCTAGTTAAAAATAATTAAAGCATTAACATTTTAAAGCATTTTAAAACATTATTCAAATTAACAGTTTGTACACTATAAGTATATTATTTCGAGTTAATTCAACTTAACAAACCTCTTCCTAACTCAACCTAACAAAATATATAGGTATATTTGATAAAAACGAAAAAAAAAAACAGAACAAGATTGCGTTTTAAACGTAGGTACTGAAATAGTGTAATATTACTCACCTATATACATATAACTATTTTAAATCTTCTGCAGTATAATATTATGTATAACTTTACTATGAATATTGGTCTATACTCTTATTCGGTTTTATGAAATTACCTACGTCTCATTTATGTAATCGGCCAAAGAACAATAATATGTTATGATGTAAAGTGCATGAACTTCGTGAACTTTGGAACCATCATTCGTGCAATTTTCTTTATCCGGCACTGCCCGGGTCTTGCTTTGTCTACGCGATCACGTGGTTTTACCTCTTTTGATAAGCTTGCGCTACGGGTAATTCGTGCGCACACCAGTTCMTTTTACATCCCTGGACAATTACACGGATATTAAACCCTACGCCCCTTAAGTTAAACGAAACTTCGACTGCTAATGGACTTTGAATTTTATACTCTCTAATTGGATATAATGGCAGGTTACCGTCGTTGTACATAATTTTAAGGCCAGACCCATCTCGCTTAAAATTCGTAAGTAGAAAATATAGTTTCTTTTCCCGGTMTTTTCTTCAAACGCTGGTCCCGTACATGCACTCCATTATTATTATTATTGTTACTTTAATATACTCTCGTCCATTCTATGTCCAACCGCATCACGCCAAATCCGGCGTTATTAACGATACGTGACGACGAGACCGTAGGTATATTCTGGACTCGTTGCTGTACGTGAACTGACTTTTTTACGCTTCCTCATTGTACAGATGGGCATTGTTAATGACGGTGTAAATATTATATATATGAATTATTATTATTATTATTTTTTTTTTTACCGTCATTTTAATGACACGCGGTGGAAATCCTTTTTAGTGAAAGAAACGGTAATACTCTTTAAATCCTTTTGGGGTAATTTATTATTTTCACGTCGTGCTTAGGGTATTTTTTCCACATATATATCGTTAAAATTCGAAACGGATTTTGTGTTAAATTCAAGCCATCTGTGACGGCCGACGGACCACATATTACTATATTAGTACAATATAATATATACGACAGCGAATGAATTGGCTCAAATGTCAATAACACTTACACTAATCCAAACTCGGGTCAACAAACAGCCTGTGTAGCTGCAAAAGTGCATAGATAGTATAAATAGCTGTAAGGTTTCCACCGGAGTCCAGGGCTCGGTGCTTTTTAATGGGACAGTTCATTTTAGGTAATCGTTTATGCGGTTCTCCTTGGGGAATATTATAGCTTTACTCCCTGTTTGCGTGAGTAAAAAATGAAACAAAATAAAATAGTAGACCAGCTGATAGCGTTGTCTAAGGTCACATGTCACATTGCGCAATGCTAATGTTGTGTATTTCCAGGTTTTCATAATGACGAAATCTCAGTCTAAAGAGGACCTTATTGGTTCCAAAGAGCAGCTGCGTGGAGATCGTAAATCATTCGTCTTACCGCCCGATTATGTGTTATCACCCACCGAAAAAAAGTTTCTGTTGCTCGCCGAGCGGGGAGACTGCGCGTCTGTTCAGAGGTATGTAAATTATGTCATAGAAATTATTGGAATCCAAAGAAAACGCTTGCTCTGGATTTTTTACTACACTAAATACAAGAAAAAATACTTTAATTCGAAGAAACTATCTGTACAATTGAAATATTTTCTGTCTTTTAATTAATTATATTAATTGATAGTTACAAAAAAAAAAAAACTTTTCTATGAAATTCATCCTTGGAGTGGAGCATTTTATCTGTATGAAATATATTCTATACATRTGKAAATTAATAAGAAATATCTAAAACACATTTTTTCTAATTTTTCTATTTGATTTTGTTCTTTTAAAATGAAATGTATAGTTATAAYTAATAAATATTTACAAAAAGAACATGGAATAATAATTATGATTAATGTATTATTATGAGCACACATTAATAAAAGACAGCGAAATATTATCGATAGCTGAAACCCTCGATTAACTACATGTTAAATTATTTGTAAGCCATAATTATTGCCAAAATCAACAAATTATAATATTTTATGTAGGATATTGGATGAACACAAAGGTCAGCCGGATATACTCAACATAGACTGCACGGACCCGTTGAACAGATCGGCATTAATAACAGCCATCGAAAATGAAAATATGGATTTGATACAGTTGTTGCTCAAATCCGGGATCAAAGTTAAAGATGCATTGTTGCACGCTATCAAGGAAGAGTACGTAGAAGCCGTGGAACTTTTACTGGAATGGGAGGAAAAGATACACGTCGCCGGMGATCCTTACGTGAGTTTGCATACAACTGAACACGAAGAGTGYCCTTAATATACTGCACATCATACACACATAATTTATGTATATTAAATTACTATATGTGTTTATAGTCTTGGGAAGCAGTGGAATCGTCAGCTTCGACGTTTACGCCCGACATAACGCCACTAACACTAGCAGCTCACATGAACAATTACGAAATACTAAAGATCCTTTTGGATAGAGGTGCTACATTGCCCATGCCCCACGACGTCAGGTTTGTCCTACACAAATTACAACATGATATATGTTTTTTTTGCAAACGTTTAATATTCATTAGTTAAAATTAAGTTATATGACGCAAGTCATGAATGCCAAAAAAAAAAACGCTCGTAGAATACAATTAATTAATGGGTAGTACTATGCAAATGGGTTGATGCGTGGTTGAAGTACATGGAAACGACTATAATAGTATACAAGGTGGTTTCTTATGTTTCTATAAAATGACTGGAAGTCAAGTTTTTTATAAGCTTGATACCTGTACTTYTATTCATAAAATGTAACAATGATTTATATTTAACAGAACTAAGTTATAGACTATACCTAGTTTAATTTCAGTGATAAATAATGTTGAACCAAATATAAAGCATTTTGTTTGTTTGAAAATATATAGTTATAATTGACAATTAATGTTTAGGAGCACAAATCGTATACAAAATATAAATGATAATTATTAAMAAAAACTAAATCATTATAATTTATATAAGTTTATAACCATAATTGATAAGTTTAAAATTGAATACAATATATTAGATTAAATGTGACGTGCACTCATACGGGTTCGTAGATTTCAGTCACGTCGTATTAATTTTGTATTTTACAAACCTAGTTAATCGGTAAGGAAAAACTGGTTAAAACCCCTAATAATTTTCTGGCTTTCGATTGAAAAAATAATCATAATAAAATTATTGACAAAAAATGTTGAGTGAACTGAGTAAAGAGTAGCCTGAGAATAGAATGCATTAATGAAAAAAACATTTCCTCTACATTCACTTTTACGTTTTAGATTTAGCGAATTTGAAGCTTATAACTACTAAATTAATATACAATATATATTTGTATAAATTCATTACTGGGTTTGCCTATATTAGTTGGATATATCATTTTTTAAATAATTTTATTTGTCTAAAAAATGCAATTCAAATGGTTTARAAATAATTCTTGTTCTTCAGCCGATCTTAATGAATTATACTGATAAATTGCCATTTAGTGGTCGGCAAAATGTTCATAAAACTATTATTATTTTTTTTTTTAAATTTTTTTTTTAAACTTCAATAACTAAGGTTATTGGCCAACATTTTAAACATACATTATTTAACTATAATATATAATTTAAATGATTGCATTATGGAAGGTTTTAGAGTATTATACAAGGAATAGGAGGTTAGAAAACGAAAAAAATTCAGTATAATTAGATAATGTTATAAAGTTTAGTTCTTTGTAGAAACGTTTTGRTGTTGGCATGTWACTGTAATTTTCAAGACTTGGTCCAAGTGTTTCATATATAGGTGATCCGGTATGTYTAGAGATGATCTGATATCAGCATAGTTACGGCAGTGTAGGCGGATGTGTTTAACGGTTAGAAGCAATATTGTATTTTTATAACGCATGMAAATTATTATTGCTCATCGTGGTTAGTATATTGYATCAAAGAGATTCTTAAATGTTAAATATTAYCATTTCGAGCTCCAAATAAATATATATTTTAGTGCATATATGTCATGTTGTCATCATAGGATTAGATATACATCTAAATATTTAACTACAATTATATTTATTTATTGTTCCAGGTGTGGCTGTGACGAGTGTATCACGTCAAACACACATGATTCACTTCGCCACTCACATTCGAGAATAAACGCATACAAAGCGCTTACGTCTCCATCCCTAATAGCTCTGTCATCAAGAGATCCACTGTTGACCGCTTTTGAATTAAGTTGGGAGCTTCGTCGACTTAGCACCATGGAATCTGAATTTAGAAATGAATATAATGTGAGTAATATACAATGAATAGATAATAGTAATATTGTATATATATATATACAAGATTACACGTTAATTAATGTACACGTGTAGTCACTTATTTTATTATTCAATATGCATGTACAGGAAATGAGGAACACTGTTCAAACATTTGCTACGTCACTTTTGGATCACGTGAGGACATCGTACGAACTGGAGATTATGTTAAATCATAATCCCAAAGGTGATCCGTGGGAACCGGGTGAGAGATTGACCCTGGAACGTTTAAAATTGGCTATCAAATACAAACAGAAAGCGGTAATATTATTGAAATATTTACGGAAATTAGTACCTATTTTAACAATAAATCATAATAAAATAATACTAAATACTAAACTTTATTTTAAGAAATGTCTTAATGTAACAACTAAATAAATTTAAATTAGTTTCCATGTTTAATTCTTAGTTTTTTTTGCAAAAAAAAAAGAAAAAAAAGAGTAAACATATTGTCCAAAAAACTTGTCAGTACGTCACATCCCACCAACATAAAAAACGTCGTTTAGAGCTTAAGTTAAAAAAAATAACAAACATGTATAATAATTAATAATTATCA